CAGCCCCATCCCTGTGCCACCACCCCATGCCCACACCACGGCTCACCTTCCGTCCCGCCAGGACCAGGCTCTCCACGGGCTGTGCTGGCTCAAACACCTGCAGCTCCTCCACCAGGTGGATGCGAGTGCCCAGATTCAGTGCCTTGTGCACCCACCCGTCACCTGCAGGCACAGCTGGCACTGAGGGCTGTCCCCACACCGCGAGAGGTGTCCCCTCCCCGGGTGCCCGTGGGTACCTGTGCCAATGAAGAGAACCTCGTAGACGGCACCATCCAGCCCGGCCACGCGATCCACCACCAGCTGGGTGAAGTTGGCATCCTTCTTGAGGAGCAGTGGGCGCCCACGCTGCGGCAGGATGGGCTCGTCCATCAGTGGGTGCTTCTTGGCGAAGTTCAGGGTGTTGTCAGGCAGCTCCAGGGAGCTGGCAAAGCCGTTCTGACGGTGCCAGTCGGTGATGCACTGCAGAGGGAAGGCACCAGGGCACTGTCAGGAGCAGAGGTGGATCCCACCTCCTCTTAAGAGGGCTTGAGGGACACCATCAGCCACGTGGATGGATCCCACCTCCTCTTAGGAGGGCATGAGGGCACCAACAGGCACATGAGTGGATCCCACCCCCTCTTAGGAAGGCTTGAAGGACATCACCAGCCACGTGGATGGATCCCACACCCTCTAAGGAGGGCACAGAGGGCACTAGTGGGAAGATGGATAGATCCCACACCCTCTTAGGATGGCATGAGGAGCATCATCAGGCACGTGGACAGGTATCACATCCTCTTAGGAGGGCACAGGTGGCACCATGAGGTACATGGATAGATCCCACATCCTCTTAGGAGGCTATGGAGGGCACCAGAAGGCAAGGGTGAATCCCACCCCACATCTTGGAGGGCATGGAGGGCACCCTGAGGAGCATGGGTGGATTCCACCTCCTCTTGGAGTCTGGAGGGCACCGTGAGGAGCACAGATGGATCCCAATCCCTCTTAGGGTGGCATGGAGGGCACCGTGAGGAGCACAGATGGATCCCAATCCCTCTTAGGGTGGCATGGAGGGCACCGTGAGGAGCACAGATGGATCCCAATCCCTCTTAGGGTGGCATGGAGGGCACCGTGAGGAGCACAGATGGATCCCAATCCCTCTTAGGGTGGCATGGAGGGCACCGTGAGGAGCACAGATGGATCCCAATCCCTCTTAGGGTGGCATGGAGGGCACCGTGAGGAGCACAGATGGATCCCAATCCCTCTTAGGGTGGCATGGAGGGCACCGTGAGGAGCACAGATGGATCCCAATCCCTCTTAGGGTGGCATGAGGGACACCACCAGCCACGCAGGTGGATCCCACCCCTCCTGCCCCCCATTCCCAGCACTCACCGCTCCGGGCCGGGGGCTTGGCACCTCATCTGAGTACCTGCCCCACCTCTGTGCCTGCTCCCTGTACTCCTTGTAGGGCCCCTCGAACGCCTTCTTCACCTCCAGGATGTGGTACCGACAGATGGCCGAGACGTCCACGTCCCCCCTGCAAGGCACAGGCAGGTTTTGGTGGGGGGACAACCCCCATCCCAAGCCCCCCCAGTGCTGCCCCTTCCCCTACGCTCACCACCGAGCCTGGAACACCCCGAAGAAAGTGGTTTCCTGCCACTCAGCCCCGGGCAGGGTGAAGACAGCCTGGAGACGGTTGAAGTGGAGCTGCTGCTCTGGTGCTGAGCACACCAAACGAGCCTTGAGGAACGTGGTCCACTTCTTCTGCAGCGTGCGAGCGCCACCGACGTCCCCCTGGGCACAGCCAGGGTCACCACTGGCCCAGCCACGCCAGGCTGGTGTGCCCAGCACCCAGGGTGCCCTCCCTGTACCTTGCAGACCCGTGCCACACGGGCCACCACCTGCTCGGCGTAGCAGTCGTACTCCACCGCGCGCTCGCTGAAGAAGAAGTAGACCTTGTCGTCGTCGCCGGTGCTGCTGGCCGCGCTCTCCTGCACGTACGCCGAGGCCACGAAGTGGGGCTCTGTTGGCAGACAGGAGGGCACAGCCAGGCTGCCACCCCGTGCCAAGCGTGGGGGTGTCCCTGCCCTCCCTGCCCCGTGTCCCTCCTGTCCCTACCGTTCAGCCAGGAGGTGAGATACTCCGTCTTCATGGAGTAGTGCGGGCCCAGGTTGCGCAGGATGACGGGCTCCGTGCCCAGGAAGTTGTTGAAGGTGGCAGAGTACAGTTCTCCATCTGTCAGGGAGGAGTTTAGGAGGTTAGGGGTGCAGTGGGTACCCCCCAGACCCCAGTGGGTGCCTGGTGGGGTCACCTACCCACGATCAGGCCAGTGTGTCCCTTGGTGGGGTCGTAGGGACACTTCCCCTTGCCGTCCTCAAATGCCACTTGGTCCAGGGTGAAGCCAGACAGCTCCTGGGGGGGCACAGGAGTGAGTGGAGGTCCTGACCCCCTGCCCAGGTCATGTCTCCTCACACTCAGATTGGCCCCAGGCTCAAGGATACTCCCTGAGATGACCCTCCTATGCAGAGGGACACCCCTAGATGATGCTCCTGGGGACAGGGACAGCTCTGGATGATCCATCCTGGTGACAGGAACACCCCTGGATGACCCTGGTGACACTGACACACCCCAGATGACCCTTCTGGGACAGGGACACCCCACCCTTGTGGGACAGGGACACAGCCCAGATAAACCCTCGGGCACAGGAACACCCTAACACCACTCCAAGGGCACAGCAGACACCCTCAAAGGCACAAGACCAGCCCTGTGTGCCCAGGGGCAGCCCTGAATGCCACTCCTAGGGACAGGGACACCCCTCAGGGATGCTCCTGGAGCCTCATCCCGGGGGGCAGGAGGAGCTGTCAGATTTTGGGGACCCCCTTGGGGTGCACTCACGATGTAGGTGCACTTGGGCTGGAAGGCATAGGTGCCACAGGCATAGAGGTGGGAGCTGTTGTAGCTCTGCAGGAAGCGCACGTAGTTGAAGCAGTCGGTCTGGGGGGACACAGAGGGCACAGGGAAGGAGGTGTCAGCAC